TGATCCACCCGCCTCGGCCTCCCAAAGTGCTGGAATTACAGGCTTGAGCCACCGCGCCCGGCTAAAAGGGATTTTTTAAATTACACCTCAAGTCCACCTGGAGAGCCAAGATTTACAAGTATTCATCTCTAAAACAATTCATCTCCTTGATTTTTTGGCCAATTCCCTAACATATATTCTTTTTTGAGAGAGGATCTTGCTCTGTCACCCAGGCTGGAGTGCGGTGGCGTGATCTCAGCTCACTGAAATCTCTGCCTTCCGGGTCCAGTCGATTTTCCTGCCTCAGCCTCCCGAGTAGCTGGGATTACAGGTGCTAACCACCAAGCCTGGCTAATTTCTTTGTATTTTTAGTAGAACTGCGTTTTCACAATGATAGCCAGGCTGGTTTTGAACTCCTGACCTCAAGTGATCCGCCTGCTGCAGCCTCCCAAAGTACTGGGATTACAGATGTGAGCCACCACACCCAGTCTCAAGCTTTTTAATCATCAAGATGGGCTGGGCGTGGTGGATCACCTGAGGTTGAGAGTTCAAGACCAGCCTGACCGACATAGAGACACACTGTGTCTACTAAAAATACAAAATTAGCTGGGTATGGTGGCACATGCCTGTAACTGCTCAGGAGGCTGAGACAGGAGAATCGCTTGAACCCAGGAGGCAGATGTTGCAATGAGCCGAAATCGCACCTTGCACTCCAGCCTGAGCAACAAGAGTGAAACTGTTTAAAAAAAAAAAAAAAAAAAAATCAGGATGACAGCCTTGTTTCTCTTATCCTCTGCTTCTAGCTCAGTGCCTGGCACATGGTCAATGCACAAGAACTGGTTGTCGAATTAATAAGCAAGGGTAACAGGTTGGTTGACCTCTGGGGAAATATCTAAGTATAAACCATATGACCACTTGGTGGGGATGTTGTAGAAGGGATACAAACATAAGCACAGGCGCTTTAATGTCCTAATCAGTGCTGATTCTTGGTCTTCCTCAGCCCCATGATTCAATAATAGTATGTTTAATTCCCGCAGTTGTGAAATAGGGAATGTGTTTCCCTTCTTAATCATAAAAAGGCAGAACATTAACCCGAATTGCCTCCTGCGTAGGTTTGTATTTTAAGGTCCCATTAAGTCATCCAAGAGAATAGTGAAGTCATATACTGTATTGTTATTGAGAATGATGATTTTGGGTTTAGAGAACACTTCACTCAAATTTCATATTCATTCCACCTAGAATCTATAAGATCTTGGACAACTTACTTCTCTGAGTCTTGATTTCTTCATCCACTAAATGAAGATAGTAATATTTGTCTAAGAGTGTA